AGAAAAACAAAGATATTCTAAATTCTGAGGCCTGATTTGGTTTCCTGTCACTGTGAAAACGCCTGAAAGAACCAAAGCTGGACCAGAACCCCTCAGAGTGGACAGCTCCACCATTAGAACATAAATACAACATAAATAAAAGGGTTTTCAGACGGTTCAGTCCATCTATCAGCCTCTAAAATACGACAGGAGGCCGGAAAAAGGCGGGAAACCGGCTGCCTGGTTCTGTTTGAAAGCTGAACTAAGAGATTAATCCACTGAGAACCCAAAAAGATATAAAACGAAGGCTTCATCTGTGCTGGAACCTTCCAGCTCCCTCGTTTCTGATTAATTATCAGAGTTTCTACTGGTTTCTGATATTGTCTCATTGTTTTGGGGTTTTTCATATTTTCTCATTGTTTCTGATGGTTTCTGATTTCTTCTAATATCATATTAATCTTTTACTGGTAGCTTCTGATAGTTTCCCATCACCTTTCAGTTTATCATAATTTCTCATAGTTTCTCATTTTTCCTGGTATTTTGTCATCCTTTTTCAGTTTCTCATAGTTTCTCATAATTTTTAATAGTTCCTGATAGTTTACCATTTTTCCTCACCCCTTTTCAGTTTCCCATAGTTCTAATAGTTTCTCGTTTTTTTATAGTTTGTCATAATTTTTCAGTCTTTCATTGTTTTTCTCATCTTTTCTTATAATTTCTGATAGTTTCTCACACTTTTTCAGATGATCATAGTTTCACATAGATCGTGATAGTTTCACGTTTTTTCTGGTAGTTTGTCATTGTTTTTTAGTTTCACATTGTTTCTCATTGTTTCTAATAATGCATTAATTTTTTTACAGGTAGTTTCAATCATTTCTCACCCCTTTTCAGTATCTCACAATTTCTCATAGTTCCTGATAGTTCTAATAGTTTCTAGTTTTTTTAATAGTTTGTCATCATTTTTCTGTTTTTCATTGTTTTTTCATCTTTTCTTATCATTTCTGATAGGTTCTCATCGTTTTTCATTGTTTTCATAATTTCTGATAGTTTCTCATAGTTTCTTATAGTTTACCATTTTTCACAACCCTTTTCAGTTTCTCATAATTTCTCTTGGTTCCTAATAGTTCCTCTTTTTTCTGACAGTTTTTAATAATTTTGTTCAGTTTTTCATTGTATTTGTCATCTTTTCTCATCTTTTCTGATAGTTTCTGATAGTTTCTCACACT